TGGCTGCCGATGATGAACGATGAAGCACAGCTTCGAAAGGTCAACCATTCACCCGCGGCCTTGTGCGGCCTACAGCCTCTGCTTGTTCCATGCGGCGCCACTAAGTAGAATTAATGGTCGTATTGATCGCTCTGCCCACAACTCAAATTGAACGGAGCAGTACGAGCTTTTTGGAGCCAGTGCCTGAGCGCATGGGGATCCCGGACCTCGCATACCCACTCACAGCCTGCAAAACACAGTTACACAATCACCGCATTCACATGCTCTACCTAGTCTTCTTATTTAGACACTATTAAAGCTGTGATTGATTAATGAACAAGATTGTTACGGCAGAATGCCAGTTCATTTTGTAATGGCATAAAGGCTTGGGCATGTGTCAGGGATCTAAGCATGTGGGGTGAATGAACTAATTCGATACCCAGCAGCAAATGACAGTCTTAAACAAATACACAGGGGTGAGCTGCCATGCTTCAAATGGTGTGTTTGGCCATTATTGACCAGTAGGAAAGGTTATTTAAACTCTGCGAAGTGGCCACCCCCTGCATGTCGCCAATCCTTTGAATCGGGGTGTAATTCAATTCAAGATTTGTTTGCTGTATGATTAATGTGACACAGTGCCTTGAGGGAAAAGCATCTCCTTTTGTCTGTTTAGAGTAAAAAAAAAAAAAAACACAGGCAAGTGACAGCATTGCATTTCTATAAACCAGGCCACACACACCACAAAACACTGAGCTAATGAGCACAGAGAGGGAGAAGGAGATAAAAGAAATTGAAGATTTAAAAAAAGAGAAAAGGCAGCAGGAGGACATAAACCCCAAGCAAAGCAGGAAAAGTGAAGAGTAGAAAGAAAAGTGATGACACAGTTCTGAAGGTGAAAGACTTTTAACGCCATATCTCGTATTCATGTTTACACATACATGAGCTTTGGCATTAAGAAAAGTCTATATAGTGTATACGAGCCACGTTCCTGTACACCAAGCTTTAAGTATTTTCTCACTCCACATACCTATTCCAACACCATTCCTCAGTTCCTCCTACTGAACAAAATTTGCAGGTATGAGAATAAATCTGGAATATTGTAATGTTATAAAATAAATGTTTATTCAATAGGTGAATGTAAATGTCACAGCAGGAAATTGTTTTTGGTTGTAAAAGTCAGTCTTGAATAAGAGACATGACTTTTAAAGGTCCAATAGGGAAAGGCTACCACAAGAGATGTACTCTCGAGTTTGCTAACAGAAAGTGGACTATGCATACATTTACATTTACTTTTAATCTATTTGGCTTTTTTTTTTTTATCTGCAAGCAGAAAGTAGAATCCAATCCTAGTGTCAAAAGACACTTATTTGCAATAGAGAAAGAGACGTGACTATGTATATCAAGAGTCTTTTTATTCATTAATGATTATTTCACAGATTATGCCTTTCTGAAGCTGTTGTCAGATGGTCTTTTAATCACATTTATACACAATAGATTAAATGTGTTTTCCAAAGGGCATGCACTCTTATATTTACACTTATTGATTTGGTGGACACTTTTAATCCAACGCAGATTATAATTGAGCTTGATGGCTTTCTGGCTATCCTGGGATTTGAACAAACAGCCTTCTAAGCAATTGCTCAGAACCTTAATCACTGACCTACCACTACTCCAGAGGCTCTAATTACAGATGTTTTAGTGTCCATTTGTGCTTCAGGCACAAGAAGGGCACCTTGCCTAATTACCATATATCTGGTACAATATAAACCTATATGTCTTCCAGCCAGCAAATAGATGGGTGGATCTGGGGATGGTCATCATTTTTAAAAATTCCTTCCAATAAATTTATAAATGGGTGCTAAATTACAGTAATCTCCACTTTCATGTACAAAGAGTTTTGCAGTGGTGCAAAACATTAGTAGACATGGACCATAGCATTCATTCCCTTTATCCCTGTCACGGTCATGGTGGACCTGGTGCAAGATAGGAATACATTCTGAATGGAGTCCTTTGAAAGTCACATCCACAAATAAACTATAGGGGCAATTTTGCTATAGCCAATTCACCTACCAGCTTGTTTTTGAGAGGTGGAAGGAAAGCAGAGAACCTAGAAAAGGCCAACATGGGAACAGAGAGAACATGAGAAACTGCATGCAACTCCCCGATGTGACATGCTGGATCATAATATATAAGATAAAATGCTTTAATGCTATAGTAACATTAATTCAGTAATCAATTTATCATGTTTTTTTTTTTATTTATTCTGTCAATTGAATCACGCATTCACTCATTTCATTTAATATTCATTTATTTTTGTGGTTTCACTGAAATCATTAGGGTTGTTCTAGCTTGATTCATCCAGTAGTCATTAATCATCAGTGATCATTAGACTCAGACTGAGAGTTAGGATTCACGCACAGAGGTGCTTAAATACAAAATTCAAACAAACAAAACTAAATTGCAATTCAAATCAAAGCTGTAATTAGTCAGAACATGGAAAATCATAGTGCAAACCAGCCAGAAGATAACTCAAAGAATAAACCAAGAAAACAGTCAAACACAGAATAAACAGTCAAGAGAGTAACAAGACTCAGAACGTATACAACCACGATGCTTGGCAAGACTTCGCAATGAATGAAATTTCCTCTGTGTATTTGTATAGCAGAAAGTCAGGAAGTGAACCAAGTGGAATGGCAGAGGTTGCATTAGCGTTCCGGAGGAGGTGTTACACTAGTCCTATTCTATGAGTACCATAAATATGACCATAAATATGCTACACACTCTTTGTTTGGAGGATAAGAACCTTTATAAAGAAATAATTCTCTTAATAGCATTCTGTTCATAGACGTTCCTTTATATAGTAGATTTTATACATCACAGTCAACAAGTAAGGGCACAATAAAATATATACACACAACTCGAGGGTGGTTACTAGAAGGCCTGTTTTGTTGTTGATGAAAAATTTACTTTTTGGATCCAGTAATTTGATATTTGACTTTTTTGTCATAAACAGCAGGTAAGGCATAGTCAAGTCTGAACACTATCAAACTGAGTGGTTATTAAATAAATCTTGACAATAATGTGCAACTTTTAAAATAAAACAGATATAAACCAAGCAGTCAGTCACCTTCAGTGGTGGTTGACGTAATATAAGAGAGCGAATGGTGGGAATAGTGTGTTTATATAGGCCAAAAAACTGCAGTCTCTTCTCTGTAGACTTTCTTCTGACATCTCTCTCTCTTTCTCTATCTCTCAGGGTTTGGGCATGTGTGTTTGCATTAAACCGCCGCAGCTGTCAGAGAGGATTACAGTCTGCTGGATGGGCCTGCTGCAGATATGACAGGCCTGATGGGGAAAGGACGTGTCTAATTCGGGCCAGATGAATATGACAGCGTAGGGTTGAGGATGGCAGGGTTACACACACAGATAGAAGCCAGTGTGTGAGTGTACAGTATGCAAGGGAGGGGGAGCAAATTATTCTCTCCCAAACGAACCCTTGTTTACGAGCCATGTTGTTTATGCTAAGCCTCATGAAGCCTTTGATGTAAAATTGCATTGTGGAGGGGGAACACTTCAGCTAACAACTTTGGTGTGAAAACAGGCGAGCAGAGCAGACACGCTTCCCACTTAAATGTTACCCTGATTGGTGCCACGTAGGAGTGTGACAAACAGCAAATGCCAGTGTCACGCTCTTTGCACTTATGGCTTCCTGTCAGCCAGGAAACGCATCATAAATGCACGCCAGGTGAGGTGTAATCTGAGTTCCAGCGGCACCTGCCACACTCCGAGTGTCCGACCATCAGAATTAATGAGGTCAGGACCACATGACCGGCAACTCTCATTTATATGTAAATGACGAAGCTGTTACTGCTGCAGTCCTCTCCTCCATCCTCTTCCCTTCTCTCCCCAAAGTCCTGCTCACAGTAACAATAATGTTAACACTAACTTCAACTAACAATCTCATGAGAACATACATGCTAACATACTCTTGTGTACTTGGTCCTGCTAGGTAGTACAATGATCTCTGCAATGCAGTGATAATTCAAAGTAATGATAAATGGATTACTAAATTGTCTTTTTATCCCTATCTGCAGAAAGCTACATGAAATATACATTACACACCTGTAGTAAATATTAGGGATACGATGATGGCATTTTTCTCAGTACATGTTTTTGGTTAAAAAAAAAAAAAAAACTTCATATTGATACAGAAATGTGTAGCTTACTTAGTACTAATCAATCAAGGGCATCAAGTCACATTTTATTTTACTCTGTTTATGTTGTTTTTATGTTTAAGATGTTATGGTGTTTAAAAATGAGCTCAAGGTGCCACAAATTGGAACTCGACTCGCAAGCAAAGTGTTGACCCTAGTTAAAGGAAGTACGCATGTCTCAGTGCTCAGTGCTCGCAGACCTGAAGTGCTCTATTGCACGACAGTTTCTCTGCACACTCACAAATGCCTTTGTGTGTACACGATTCACAGCACCTTGCACTCATTTTTAATGAATGTACTCGTTGAGAGTGCGCTGCATGCTCAGGTTGGCCAGCCCCATTAAAGATACTGTTTAAACACCATACAATGTTTTTATCAGGTTATTTGGGTTTGGTTATTGGAGGAAGATGCTGTAGTAGTGACTCTTGATATTTTCACATCATTAATCGTAATATATGTCCAGATCACAGTCATTATGTCTTACGGCACATTGTATCACCTGGTATTAGTTGTTGGTATCAGAGCATTTTTTTTTATGAGTACGAACCAAAGCAAATGAGTGTTGGACCAATACCTTATACCAAGAATAACTAAAATGGCATAGGAACATCTCTCCACATTTGCTGTTGTTCTTCTTCCAGTTGCTCCCATTAGGGGTCGCCACAGCAGATCATTGGTCCACATATTTGATTTGGCACAGTTTTTGGCACGGATGCCCTTCCTGATGCAACCCTCCCCAATTTTATCCAGGCTTGGGACTGGCACTGGGAGTGCACTGTCGCATACAACCCCAGTGGCTGGGGTTGTTTCCCTGGCTGGGAAGTGAACCCAGGCCACTTCAGTGAGAGCGCTCTCTCCTAACCACTAGTCCTCCAGGGACCCGAATATTGCTCCACATTTACCATCATACAAACCAATGTAAAATGACGCTACCCCAGCTATCTGGCCTTTGTCACAACAGAGTATGTTTTAAGTATCAGTGGCTTTGATTTGCATTGGTATAATCTCAGCAATTTAATTGTTTAACAAAACATACCATAATCATGATTTTGTTCATCTCTAATTTTAGCTAGCTACCTCACATAGATTCAGTGTCTAAATGTTATGGTGTATCACATTGTCTGAAAAAGAAGCACTGTACAGATGAATGCTTTTTTCCCCCCATGATTCCCACATAGCTATAACAGTGGTCCATCCAAGCCATCCAATAGGAGTTAACTATTTAATATTTAATATTAAATGCAAGGTTGGTTAAAAAAAAATCCTGTTTAAATGTATACAGCCAAAACACTGCCAGACTCCTGCTTTACAGTTACCACTATAGAAAAGTCTATAACAGCAAAACGGCTTTTTTTTTGCGAATCAGCATCAGGAAATGCTTTCAGTGTTTGACTGAGTTTAAATTGCTTTTAACGTTGGATTGGTCAGGGACTTAACTGGGCCTGGTCCGCTCACTTTGGTGACCCCTGCTCTGTGGGAAGCTGTTTTCTCCACCTCTTCATCAGAACTGTTAAAATCCGTCCCCAAGGCTGAGTCAATGCAGGAGAAGCTTGCATGTCTGTAAGAGTGTATGTGCCTGTGTGTACAGGTCATATTGATTTTGGATACTGGTGAACAGTGTTAGTGATCTCGGCAGAGTTTGTAAACTTTATGTAGGAGGGAGGGCAGAGAGAGATGCAGGGAGTCGGGAGTTCAGAGGAATAAGCTCTCAGCTCCTGCTCTAATCTGCTCTTACTTGTTGTCGAAGAACTCAGTGCTCTGAAGCTCAGTTTAAAGCGATTACAAGGATCATCTGTGTGGTATTAACATTATAAAAAGTACAACATACATTCTGAAAGTGCAACTCTTGCTTTGGCCTAATTGATCACAGAAAGAGAAATGAAAGCAAGGGTGAACAATAGTCACAGAGAAAAATAGCTGTGTTATTTTACAAATAATATATTTTTCAGCACTAAATCGGAACAGTTTACACTGAATAGGAAAGGAGAAGAGAAGAGAGGAGGAACACAAGAAGAAGAGAAGAGAATTAACAGAAAATACACACAAAAGAAGAACAAAGAAAATATGTTAAAAATAAGAGAATAGAAGAGAAGAGAAAAAAGTAAAGAAGAAGGAAAGAAGAGGAGAGAAGAGAAGAGAAAACAGAAGAGAAGAAAAATGGAGAAGAAAAGAGTAGAGAGAAGAAGAGGAAGTAAACAAAAGAGAAGAGAAAAAAATCAGAAGAGAGGAGAGAAATGTTAAAAAAGACAAAATCAGAGAAGAGAAAAACACAAAAAGAACAGAAGAGGTAGAAAACAGAAGAAAAGAGAAAACAGAGAAGAGAAATACACAGAAGAGAAGAAAAGAGAAGAATGTTAAGAAAGACAAAATCAGAGAAGAGAAAAACACAAAAGAAAAGAGAAAAAAGAAAAAAATGTAAAAAGGAGACAAAATCAGAGAAGAGAAGAACAAAAAAGAAGAGAACAAAAAGAAAAAACAAAAAAAGAGAAAAATGTAACAAGAAGACAAAATCAGAGAAGAGAAGAGAAGAGAAGAGAAGAGATAAGACCTCTTACAATACAGTCCATGTTCTCTTTCTTACAGCTTCTCACAGTATAATCCACAGCCTGACACACAGTAACTTACAACCCTGAACCCTACAATTAAACCTGCACAGTTACATAGTAACATAAAAGATAAAAGCAGCTTTGTTCCTCTACAATTCCCTACAATACGGGCCAACAGCCGCCAAGAGCTGTATCATTTCCTGTTGATTTCGTCTTCTGTAATTATGCACAGGCAGAAGGGGTAGAGCATACGAGCAGAATTATAGAGAAGCAGCTCTTAGTGTAATTATCAACTGGTGTCGGTGGTGTTAATATGGGGAGGGTGAGAGTTGTGTGGTAGAAGGGGGTGGTCTCAGTGCCGCCTCTCTGCCTGTAACTAGTCCCTCAGGAAAGGATGTTGTGTTGTGTTGTATCGTGTGGCTCTACACTTCATGCAAGATTTAATCACTAGAACAGATCTGGCTAATGCAGAAAGACTACGAATAAAATAGAAAGAAATTTAATGAAAGTTGGACAAGCTATGAGGTGTTTGGCTAGATAGTTGTGTTGGGTGTAGATGAACATGGATTAATGGAGATGGATGGAGGGATGGTAAAGGGGATGACAGGCTCTGCAGAATGCTATTGTCCAGAAATGCACGCACACACACACACACCACACAGCTGCCATGTTCAATAAGCACAGCCATGAGCAGATCAAACTGAGAGAATGAGAGTAAGAGAGAGAGAGAAAAACAGCCAGAGCGTAGCGAGTGGCTGTGTTTAAAATGTCCTTCTTGTACACTATATACGACGCTATATACTACACACTATCCCTAGTTGCTTGCAGTATAGTATGCAGTATGCCAAGATTAGCATTTGGGTTACAGCACAGTCATGTGACCATCTTGTCAGTTAAACTCATAGATGCAGTTACCTCGGAATTACCTCAGACTGCTTCATTATTGTGCTGAGGAGTTTCACACTTACTTTGACCCAAAATCTGTGCTGGTGAAAACCAAAAAATGATGCAATGAAGCAGCAAAGACAGGCTTTAAGGCATTTAAAACTGATTTAGCCTAAATTTAGGAAAAGCAGGACAATGAAAATACAGTATTGACACTAGCAGCTAGCATACATAGCTAATCTTTTGTTCAGAAAAAAATTAGGAATTAAATTATTATTTGAGGCAAAATATTTGAGGCAAAAATGTTAATTAATTGTATCAACTTAGTAATACCTAACATAAACTAAAATCTGCAAAACTATTTATCATTTGCTATTAGCTGCATTAGCTTATTCCTTTAGCCTTACTGAATTAGCCTAACTTTAGGAACACGAGGACAATGTAAATACAGATGACTAATAGCTAATCTTCAAGTAAGCCACCAGTGCTAGTTAATGAAAAAATTAAATGATTATTTAAGGCAAAATATGAATTAAATATATTAACTTAGTAGTACTTAACATAAACTAACAGACTTGAAAACTATTTATTAGTTGCTAATAATTGTCAGTTAGCATTAGCTTATTAACTTATTCAGTTTTCTTGATTTAGTCTTTAAGAACAGGAGGACAATGTAAAGAAAATACAGTATAGACACAACTAGCATACATAGCTAATCTTTTGTACAGTATCAAGTAAGCCACCAGTGCTAGTTAACAATTAGATTAAACAATTAGATTAAAATAGGGAAAATACATGTATTAACTTATTAATATGCAATATAAAATGTCAGAATAGCAAATTATTTAATTAATTAATTAATTAAATTATAGTTATCACCCAGGTAGCAAACTGACGTTGATCCAACATCAGTTTTGGGCTGCTATTTTGGACCTCCCTGTACAACGTTGTACCAGTGTTGATAAAGGAGTACTTTTCATAACAACCCTGCCAAAGCTGACCCAATGCTGGCCCAGTATTGGCAAAGCTGCATTTTTCATAACAGTTCTGCTAATGGTGGGCCAACATTAGCAAAGGCTGACTTTTCATAACAACCCTGCCAACACTGAGCCAATGTTGGTGAGGTGGATAAAGCTTAAAGGTGGCTGAAAATTCATCAACTCGGTTGGCACCTAATGGACAAAATTACACTGGCCCAACATCTGTTTGCTAGCTGGCCAGTTAGCATTAGCTTGTTTAACTAGGCAATCGATTAGCAAAGATCCATTTTTCAGTTACCTGCAAAATTTCTGCATATATAGTATTTACATTTATAGTTGCTACTACAGCCACAAAATTCACCAAAGTTTTCTGGCTTTACTTTGAAAAAGCAAATAGCCATGTTGTATCATGGGACGACATTATGATAACATGGTGTAACATTACACCATGAAGCACCATGAGTTTGGCAGGAATTAGCATCAGTAGTATGTGTATATTATTAAGAAAACTACATTTATAGTTTCTCTTTTTATGGTCTCTGTCCAACTCAGGCCATCACACTCTTTTTTAATATGGCACTTCAGAGTGGAAATGGGAAGATGAGGGAAAAGAGGGAGAGTCAAGAGGATGGATCGTTTTTAAAGAGTGCAGTTCCACATTTAGAATCATAGGCTGACTGTGAGTGAGATGCTTAAAATGCTCGGCCACTTCAGAAACTCTCAAAAGTTACTATCAGCTCTGATTTTCCACTGACATGAGATCAGTTGCGTCAAGTCTCCCGTAATTAATCAGGGTAAGGTCTGAATGGGACGAGCAGATCTAAAATCAGTGTTTCAGGGCTGAGTCAGCGTAGAACACCAGACTAACAGTGTGAATTATTCCCTAGTATTGACCTAGCCGTCTGAGTCACTCCTGCATCGGAGGAATAAGTGTCTTTGATAAAGCAGATTAGCATTGATGAATCTCTGAGAACGTGACGCTTACAAAAGGAAATTAATGTACAGCGATTTTTCCCTTATCACCCACCCCCAGTGTAGAGAGTCCAGACCTCCAGCATATCTCAGAATGCAGGAGGCTATGCATACCTGTACAAGTTATCCACATCAACTGATGCAACATATTGTAACAGAAGACAAAAAATAAATTAAACTATGTCTGTGATTTACACCATTAAACATGATATTCTGTTGAGCTGTCTTGGAATCGACTCCACTGATTCACAGCACCTTGAATCCAAATCAGAGTCGACTCCATAATGTTTGGAGTCAAAACCCATTCGACTCTTAATATCAGCAAAGGACAAGAACACTGAAGTGGAAAGAGCACCAAAAAAATTCAACTGTCACCTCAACACTGATTACCTGACAAGTGTGACTAATGCTAAAATTACAGGCTAGTTAGAGACATTGCAGACTGAAAGTGAATCAAAAGATGAAAGTGTGTGTATATGTGGGTGTGTGTGTGTGT